AAAATTTCTGTCCTGTCTGCTTCATTAGGTTATACTCAGGAATTTGATTCCTGCAAAGGGATGTGTACTTGTAAGTTGTCTTTCTTAACAGGGAACAACTTCTAGAATGTGGCTGCCCCAGGACCTTCAAATTAGCCTCAGGTCCCCTTAAGCCCAAACTGGAAAGGAGTTTTGAGATTGTCTAGGGTTGTCTAACCACTCCACTTTCTGCAACATTGCACAGTGTGGATGAGAAAACAGGGGCCCAGACAGGGGAAATGGCTTACCCAAGTCATGGATCAGAACCCAGATATCCCTATGCATGGTCTAGTGAGTTCTTTGCAGGTTTCCTCTAATTGTCTCAGCCTCAGCCTCAGTCCCTGACATTTTCTGAATTGAACCTTTTGATGGGAGAAAAGGGGTCACACTTCACTGTTGGTTTGCCATCAGGGACAACTGGTATTTAGGAAGCATTCCCTGGTCCAGACCAGAATATGGTGAGTTCCATGCTCATGGCCACATGACTCTGGTCAATGCAATTTACAACCTCCCTTGGTTTTCCCATTCATTTTCTTAGGATTAGCAAATGGAAGTGGTAACTGGTGGCTCAGAAACAAGGTCGATTTTGCAGGTATTGTTTGTGTGGCTTGTGCCAGTTTTTAACTATAATGCAACATTTTAAAAATGAGAGCTATAAGCACCAAACTAGGAAACTTATTTGCAATGTATTCCAAACAAAGTATTAATTCCCCTAATACATAAAGAGCACCCACAAATAAAGAAAAATAAAAACAACTCTAGTAGAAAACAGATGAAAGATATGAAAAGATAATTCAATGAAAATCATGTAGAAATTATTCTTAAGCATGTGGAAAGACCAGCAACTATGCTCACAATAGGAGAAATACATATGTACAATACTAAGTTACCATTTTTCACCTATCAGACTGATGAAAAATAAAAAAGATGGATAATACACATCTTTGGGAGAGTCTGGAAAAACAGGCACTCTCATATATTGCTAGTTGAAATGTAAATTTGTACAATCTCTCTGATGAGAAAATTGTCAGTAACTATCAAAATCATAAATGTACCTTTCTTTAATCCATCAGTTCTACTTCTAGGATTTTTGCCTATAGATGATATATTTATCAATGTGTGAAATAATATAAATAGAGGTTTACTTATGAGAGCAAAACTTTGAAAACAATCTATATTTATCAAGAGGGGTCCGATTAAGTTAATTATGGTACATGCATGCAAAGAAATATTAGGCAGCTGTAAGCAAAAATGAGGAAGCAGGGGCTTCCCTAGTAGTGCAGTGGTTAAGAATCTGCCTGCCAATGCAGGGGACACGGGCTCGAGCCTTGGTCCGGGAAGATCCCACAGGCCGTCGAGCAACTAAGCCTGTGCGCCACAACTCCTGAGCCTGCGCTCTAGAGCCCGCGAGCCACAACTACTGAAGCCCTCGTGCCTAGAGCCCGTGCTCTGCAACAAGAGAAGACACGACAACGAGAAGCCCGCGCACCACAACGAAGAGTAGCCCCCGCTCACCACAACTAGAGAAAACCCGCACACAGCAACAAAGACCCAATACAGCCAAAACTAAAAACAAATAAATTAATTAATTTTTTAAAAAAAGAATGAGGAAGCTGCTTATGTATTGATAGAGAAGACTCTTAAAGATAAATTTTAAGGAAAAAAGCAAAATATAGTACAAAGTGAAAAGTATGTTATGATCTGTATAAGTAAAGGAAAAATAATATTTGCCTCTGCATGCCTGCAACATCTCTGGAAGGTTACAAGATATTCTGATTTTCTCTGGGGAGGGTAACTAGGTGACTGGGTATGGGAGGGGGAGGAAATCCTTTCGTTATAAACCCTACTGCCTTTTAAATTTTTGAACAATGTGAATGAACTACCTTTTCAAACATAAATAATATTTAAATTTAAAAATATTCTCTCTTTAGGAAACCACAAACAAAATGAAAAGACAACCTACAGAATGGGAGAAAATATTTGCAAATGATGCAGCCAACAAGGGCTTAATTTCCAAAATATACAAACAGCTCACACAACTCAACAACAAAAAAACAAACAACCCAATCGAAAAATGGGAAGAAGACCTTAATAGACATTGCTCCAAAGAAGAAATACAGATGGCCAATAGGCACATGAAAAGATGCTCAACATTGCTAATTTTTAGAGAAATGCAAATCAAAACTACAATGAGATATCATCTCACACCAGTCAGAATGGCCATCATCAAAAAATCTAGAAAAAATAAATGCTGGAGAGGGTGTGGAGAAAAGGGAACCCTCTTACACTGTTGGTGGGAATGTAAATTGATACAGCCACTATGGAGAACAGTATGGAGGTTCCTTAAAAAACTAAAAATAGAACTACTGTATGACCCAGCAATCCCACTACTAGGCATATACCCTGAGAAAACCATAATTCAAAAAGAGTCATGTACCAAAATGTTCATTGCAGCTCTATTTACAGTAGCCCGGAGATGGAAACAACCTAAGTGTCCATCATCGGATGAATGGATAAAGAAGATGTGGCACATATATACAATGGAATATTACTCAGCCATAAAAAGAAACCAAATTGAACTATTTGTAATGAGGTGGATAGACCTAGAGTCTGTCATACAGAGTGAAGTAAGTCAGAAAGAGAGAGACAAATACCATATGCTAACACATATATATGGAATTTATGTGAAAAAAAATGTCATGAAGAACCTAGGGGTGAAACAGGAATAAAGACACAGACCTACTAGAGAATGGACTTGAGGATATGGGGAGGGGGAAGGGTAAACTGTGACAAAGCGAGAGAGAGGCATGGACATATATACACTACCAAATGTAAGGTAGATAGCTAGTGGGAAGCAGCCACATAGCACAGGGAGGTCAGCTTGGTGCTTTGTGATCGCCTGGAGAGGTGGGATAGGGAGGGTGGGAGGGAGGGAGACGCAAGCGGGAAGAGATATGGGAACATATGTATATATATAACTGATTCATTTTGTTGTGAAGCTGAAACTAACACACCATTGTAAAGCAATTATACTCCAATAAAGATGTTAAAAAATTTTTTAATTAAAAATACTAATTAAGAAAATAATAAATAAAAAATAAAAAATATTCTCTCTTTAAAAAGGAAATATTTTTACATTAAAGTTTTTATTTCTGACTTCTCTTGGAAAAGGAGGCCGTTGGCAATATGTAGGCCCACACCTGCTTATGGCAATTGTTGGCTGGAGCTGAGTAGGGGCTGCCCCTTTAGAGCAGGAAAACTTGCCCTCATTTACTGCAGTTCTCACCACTCCCTGTTGCTCCTGGCTGGGCCAGTTTCACTTGCTTTTTTAGCTGCCTAGCCCTGTAAGAGACCCCTGCTCTGGAGTCTCTTTGAATTTGCTACCTTCCTATCTTGCAGACCCTCTCCTTTCCTTTCTTCCCCAGGGTCAGAGACATAGATGTGTACCTGTCTGGGAGGTGTGACAGTGCCTGGTCCTTCCTCAGGACCCCTCCAGGCACTTCTCAGGGGAGAATTGTCATCTTCCACCCTTGGGAGAGCCAGGACCTTCCTTTCTGACAGTTCTGTCACTGACAGGGGGTCTCAGAGACCATCTGAAAAAAGAGTCAGATAATATTTAATACATGAAAAACAACGAAAACAAAAACAAAAAAACCTTTTCAGGACTTCCCTGGTGGTGCAGTGGTTAAGAATCCGCCTGCCAATGCAGGGGACACAGGTTCGATCCCTGGTCTTGGAAGATCCCAAGTGCCGCGGAGCAGCTAAGCCCGTGTGCCACAAATACTGAGCCTGCGCTCTAGAGTCTGCGAGCCACAACTACTGAGCCTGCATGCCACAACTACTGAAGCCCACACACCTAGAGCCATGCTCTGCAACAAGAGAAGCCACCACAATGAGAAGCCCGTGCATCGCAATGAAGAGTAGCCCCAGCTCGCTGCAACTAGAGAAAGCCCGAGCGCAGCAACGAAGACCCAACACAGCCAAAAATAAATAAATTAAAAAAAAAAAAAAACTTTTCAGACACCATAGACAGTATGACATCCTAGCTGTTTGATTAAAGACTACAGTGTATACATTTATGTTTGCAGGTTAGAGACTCACCTGAAAGGATACTTAAGAACTTGATAGAATAGTTATCAGTTTGGGAGGGAAAAAAATTTTATCTACAAACAGCATACCCTTTTCAGACTGCCTGCCTTTCATTGTCTTTGAAATTCTGTAATTTGTAGTAACTGATGCAAAATAATTCTTAGGGACATGCAAATTTTTTCTGTCCAATAGAGGTTTAATTGACTTTCTTTCTCCCACCCCATGGAAAAACCATGTTTTGCCTTTATTTGCATGTTCATTTCAATACTCTTGATCTATAAATGTGTCTGTTTCCAGATTCTCTTTGAGTTTAACATCTGCCTGTTTCCCTTGTTGATTAATGAGTAGAATGAAATCTTTAACATGTGTCCATTTTATATCTGTATGAAAGTCATGGTTTTATCTTTTTCTGGAAATTATCTTTAAACAGTTATAGACTAACCTGGAAGGATGCAACTGATGTGTGGTTTATCAGTCTGTGGAGAGAAACTGAGTGTCTTGGGGTGGGGTAGGGAGACTTAATTTCAATTATTTTGTATTTTTAAAATTTCCTACTGTGTGAATAACTATCCATTCAAAACTATAAACAAATACAATGTGTTTTTTAAAGACAATTGAAAAGAGGGAAACAAAAAAAGGAAGTATAATCTAGGAATTAAGAATATGGGATTTAGGGTCAATCGGGGCTGGATTTAAAGCTCTGACATTTTTCTCAATGACTTTGGGCAAGTTACTTAACCTCTCTAAGCTTTAGTTTATCTGTAAAATAAAGGTAATAATACCTTGTTCCCAATGTCTCTGTGAACATTAAGTGAGATTTGAATATGAAAATTTTTAGCCAAGGACCTGACACATGGTAAGCATTCCTAACAAACCTGGACCACAATAATATGATGGTCAACGTCATCATCATCATCACCATCATCATCAAAGCTAGTGTCTCGCATGTACAGGATGAACCCCCTGAAGGGATGTCAAGCAATTTTAGGTGGTACTAAATAACAATAAATCATACGCTGAGAAAACATTTCCCTTTTCAACTTCTTTTGATCCTTCTTGATTTCTCCAGGACAAAGTATCAGTTTGGTGCTAATCAGTGTTTAATACCTAACACATGTAAATTTCCGTTTTTAACAAGGAATGAGGAGGCACAGAAGGATGGAAGTACAGAGACTTCAGCAGGCGGAATCTGCTAGAATTTAGGAACGTCGTTTGTTTTCATTGCATTTCTCTTATAGGTATGTTCATTCATTCCATGGCTGCATTCTGACTTTCATGGACCCTAGGCACTTTTGCCTTGGTGAGCCACCTTCCTGCATTAAAAAAAATTTTAAATTACATTTCAAAACTTTATTGGTATAAATAAGAATATAATCTAGACTGGTTTCGTTATTGCATTTATTTTTTCTTCTGATTTTAAAATAAATTAAAATTAAAGCATTTTCATAGGCCCCTAAAAGTACTCTGGGCTCAAGGCCCTGTGTCTGGTTGGCCCTGATTCATTCTATTTATGGTGAGGGCTACCGATTTTCCATTTACAGAGGAGAATTCAAGTTTCCTTTTTATATAGATGTATTCAAGTAAACAAAATGAGTCCATTCGTCAGCTCAGGCTGCCATAAAAATACCCTAGACTAGGTGGCTTAAACAATAGAATTTCATTTTCTCACAGTCCTGGAGGCTGGAAGTCCGAGATCAGGGCACCAGCACAGAAGAATGTTCAGGGAGGTCCCTCTCCTCTGTGTCTTCACGTGGAGGAGGTGTAGGTGTTGCAGGAAGGGGGACCCCTTCCAGGACCCAAGAGTGGGCTCTTGTCTAACACTCGAAAATGAATTGTCCAAGGAGACACACGTGCTGACAAAGTAGGAGACTTTATCGGGAAGGGGAACCTGGTGGGGTCCAGGAGGGTAAGGGAACCCAGGAGGACTGCTCTGCCACGTGGCTCACCGTCTCCGGGTTTATGGGAGTGGGCTCAGTTTCCGGGTTGTCTCTGGCCAATGACTCTGGCTCAGGGTCCATCCTGGTGGCGCAGGCATCACTCAGCCAGGATGGATTCCAGCGAGAAGCCTTCTGGAGGTTGGTAGGACATATAGACTGGAGTCTCCTCTCTCCTTTTGACCTTTCCTGAATTATTCTGGTTGGTGGTAGCTTGTTAGTTCAGAATTCCTTACCAGGACCTCCTGTTTAAGATACCTCATGCAAGTGGCTACTACCTTGCCTGTCCAGGGCAGGCAGTTTCAGTCAGTGTTTGCCCTAACGTATGTGTGTGTCTCTTCCTCTTCTTAGAAGGCCACCCTCCTATTGGATTAGGACCCCATCCTTATGACCTCACTGAACTTTAATTACCTCCTAAAGACTAACTCCAGATAAAATCACATTGGGGTTAGGGCTTCCACATAGGAACTAGGAGGGGGTCGGGGAGACACAATTCAGTCCACAGCAAATATGAAAGTACATACTAGTACAGCGGTGCGAGAATATGGCAAAAATAAAAGTCCACTGTTTTAGGGGCTTCCCTGGTGGCACAGTGGTTAAGAATCCGCCTTCCAACGCAAGGGACACGGGTTCGACCCCTGGCCCGGGATGATCCCACATGCCGCTGTGTAAGTAAGCCCGCGAGCCACAACTACTGAGCCCGCGCACCTAGAGCCCGTGCCCCCAACAAGAGAAGCCACCACAATGAGAAGCCCGCGCAACACAGCGAAGAGTAGCCCCCGCTCGTAGTAACCAGAGAAAGCCCGTGCGCAGCAATGAAGACCCAATGCAGCCAAAAATAAAAATAATAAAACAAGTAAATTTATTAAAAAAAAAAAAGTCCACTGCTTTACAGATGAGGAGACTGAGGTCTGGGAATATAAAGCCTTGTGGAGCCAGGACTGGAATTCCTAAGCTTTGTCCACCCTTCAGGACAATTTGTGGCAAGGCACTTCCCAGGAATAGGATTATCCCTTCCCCACTGGCTTAGGTGGTCTGCACAGGGATGCAGGACTTACCCCACAGCCTGCTCTTGCCAAGCCCTTGGGCCTGGGGAGTTCACTGCCCAGGGGACCCTACCAGGAAGTTACATCAGGAATGGGTTTTGTTGGCACTTCCCTCGTGGCGCAGTGGATAAGACTCCGCACTCCCAATGCAGGGGGCCTGGATTCAATCCCTGGTCAGGGAACTTGGTCGCACATGCATGCTGCAACTAAGAGTTTGCATGCCACAGCTAAGACCCGGAGCAACCAAATAAATAAATATTTTTTTAAAAAAAGAAATAGGCTTTGTTTCCATCAGAACACTGCTTTAAAAACCATTCAGAGAGGCCAACAAAGGACAGAGTCCCTTTAAATCCAGGCGGCGGCACCTTGTTAAAAAAACAGTAAAAAAGAAATGAAGGAGCTTTGAAGGAGTAAACCAGCTTTCTGACTAGGGGACTCTTCAAAGGCCTGAAACCCAACTCTGGTCACCCAGGCAGCCACATCCTGATCAGAGCACACATCCTGAGGTGGAAAGAAGGGCCCTGGCTACCCCATCCTCCCAGGGTTTTGTTCCCTCTTCCTTTTCCATTTTAGCCTAAAGGAGAAAATGCTGAGGGGAAAGTCCAGAGACCTAGCAGGAGAGCCAGAATCCACCAATGGATCCAGCTTTCCGGGTCAGCTCTCTGGATGGCAAATTAGAAGGGTGTTGCAGATGAAAGGGTAGTCTTTGAAAATGCAAACAGGACAAGAGTTCTTTGAGGTGGGAGCTTTTGCCACTTGTCTGAGCTGCACCGTGGCCGGAAGCATGGCCCAGAAAAGCCCTAGGGAGCTTCTGACTAAATGAAAAGACAGCGGGGTTTGGATCCCCAACAAATACCCTGGGATGAGGTGAAGCAATGACAGAATACGGTTAGGATGGATGGAAAGCATCAATCTAGCCCTATTTGTAATATTAAAGAAAATTTTACCAAAAGATCATTTTACTGTAGCACACAGGTAAATGAAGGCAATTAATGTTAATGTTTAAATTTCTATGTAATTAGTAAGGTATGAAAATGAGAGTAACTTGGGGCTAGTAGTCACAAGGAAAGCATGACTGAAATATATTGGGCTGAGGGTGGGATCTAGAGCATTGCCTCCACAGCCTTGAGCGGTTAATGTGCTCCTGCTGTAGCTGCTTCTTTGGAATTTGGGAGAGGGCTTGCTCTCCTCTGCTCCACTCCCACCTCCATGTAATATCTTTGTGTCTCTCCTCTCTTAGCCTTATCACTTCTTTAGAGGAGGTAATGGGCATCACCAGCCTCCTGGTTGCAGCTGCCAAAGGTGCCTCCTTGGGTGGGTGTGCAGGAGGAAATAACTGCTAGAAGGCATGGTAGGACAATTTCATCTGTGTCTTTTTTTTTATTAAAAATATTTATTTATTTATTTGGTTGCACCGGGTCTTAGTTGTGTCACATGGGCTCCTTGGTTGCGGCATGCATGTGGGATCTAGTTCCCTGACCAGGGATCGAGCCCGGGCCCCCTGCATTGGGAGTGCAGAGTCTTATCCACTGCGCCACCAAGGAAGTCCCGCATCTGTGTCCTTAATGGCCCATGTCAAAAGAGTCATCCAATCAGTCAACAAATATCTGTTGAGTTTCTGCTGTGTGCCGGGTGGTGGGCTGAAAGGAAGTTGCATGGAGCAGAAATGGAATCTGAGCCTGTCACAAGGCAGGCAAGAACTGTGATTGCAAACCATGAGGATGTGTCACATTAGCCCCCAGCCACTGCAGAAGTTAGCAGTTGATACCAGTGTGCCATTGGTGTGCTTCTTTTAATACCCGTTCTTCCTGTTTGTGGGTAGTTTTCGTCCTCACTCACTGAGATGAAGGATGGAAAGGGATCAGAAAGATGGAATTGTTAGGGACCAACGGGTGGAATCCCCTTGTTGATTGAAAAAAAAAAGCTCAATGTGAGTTAAGTTTTATTTGGGGTAAAATGAGGACTGCAGGGAATTCCCTGGCAGTCCAGTGGTTAGGACTCTGAGCTTCCAACCCGATCTGGTTCAATCCCTAGTTGGGGAACTAAGATCCACAAGCCACGCAGTGCAGAAAAAAAAAAAAAAGAAGACTATAGCCTGGGACATAGCATTTCAGATGGCTCTGAGAAACTGCTCCGAAGAGGTAGAAGGTGCTGACTGAAAAAAATGCACAACCTAAAAGCTGAGAGTTATGTTTTATTTGGTGGACATTCTGAGGACTTCAAACCCAGGAGACAGGACTCTCAGATCACTCTGAGGGACTGCTCTGAAGAGGCGAGGGGGCGAGGGAAGGATACATAGGACTTTTTGCAACAAAGACCAGGTAGTCAGAACATCAAAAGATTACTGTTAATTAAAGAAAATCAGATATCTCAAGTTAAGGAATTTAGTGCTTTTCTTTGTAAGGGAAGATGCAAAATCTGGGCTCATTGAAATCATTCCTCTGGTGTGCACCTAGGCTGTCTGGGGCCAGTATCCTGTGTTTTCGCATCCTGAGTCTCCTCTGGGTGTACTGTTAGGGGGTGGCTGCATTAGCAGGCATTGTTTCCATCCTGAATTCCCTCGGGGCTCACCATCCAGGGCACCTGTAATGCGATAGCTTGATGGCTGCAACATCCTTTGTCTACTGATATGGCAGGCAATATTTTTTATTCAAAGAGGGAAGGTCAGTGTTATATATGATTTTAGTGAAGGGGGCATGTACAGTCAAGACACATGTTGGCAGAGGCTGGCTGCTTGTCACGAGGAGCTGATGTCACATTTAATGATTTCAGTGCTTTTCTAGATACGAGGAAATGCAAGCATTGGGCTCATAAAATCTTCTCCTGAAAATATGTAACTTGCTGAAAGCCTGCTCTGCCAGTTTTTCCCAGAGCAGTGTGCCTCGCTCCTAATCTCCACCCTGAACTCCCTGCAGGGTGTGTTGAAGGTCAGCAGCTGCAGAGGCTAGTGGCTTCAACCTTGTACAG